TCATTATAAGGAATACTAATACAATCCCCGCTCTGGCTCCATCTTAGGCATATAGATAAAGATTAAAGTAATATTAAGATAAGTGGATATAGACACCGTGGCATTACCCACTGTTTTTACTGTCTTTTTAAAAGCCTGCAGTTTGGCACTCTGGCCGTCGCCATTTAGACTACTATGAGTAACCATATTCAGAATATTTGGTGAAGCTGCAGAGGGGGGAGGGGTTTGGGAACATCAAAATAGTAACAGAGATACTATATCAAGGCCTTTCTTATTTACTGGCTGAGATAAATATGACGTTATATTTTATAAATCAGACTGAGTATGCTAATGGCTACACGTGGTGTAGTGGTTAGCGCTGTTCTCTCCGCTGCCTCACAGAGAGGAGGTTCCTGGTTCAATTCTGTGTGGAGTTTGCATGTTCTCCCCGTGCATGCGTGGGTTCTCTCCGGGTACTACGGCTTCCTCCCACAGTCCAAAGACATGCTTGTTAGATTAATTGGTGACTCTAAAAATTGTCCGTAGGTTTGAATGTGAGTGTGGCTGGTTGTCCGTCTCTATATGAGATCTTTGACTGGCAAACAGTCCAGGGTGTACCCCGCCTCTCGCCCAATGAAAGTTGGGATCAGCTCCTGCATATGTCGCCTATGCAGGAATCATGAATTGATTTAGAAAAATAATAATTTTTGACATTTGGTTACACATAAAGTAATACCCGTGGTGGCCTATCCATCAACCTCAACAAATACATATTTTGTCCACTAGAGGTCACCGCCTCAGTCTCAATTTAACGCAAGTAGCAATACTCGTGTCACACGTGATCTATGCTGTCATATTTTTGAAGTAGACAGTTGATTACTCTTATATGAACCTTAGAACAGTCTGAGTGAGAGATCAACATAAATGTCCTCATAACAATGGTTAAGAATTGGAATCGGGACCTCATTAAGATAGTAAGACAAACACACATATACACACACACTCCAGGAAAAAAGTCCTTTGCAGAGAAGAATCCATTAAATCTGACTGTCGAGCTGGTAAACAACACTGATAAGGTCCCTCGACTGTCTCTGCTTTACTGTACAACACATGATTATTTACTAGCTAATTAGCATTAGCGTTGAGCCCATAAATCTTTTGCTGTAAGAAGACGTGAATACTTCATTTCCTGCTCTGCTGAACAGCAATCTGTCCAGATATAAATGTATTAAATGTAGTTTATGAGCAGTGAGACGCCTCAGCTTGTCTCTTTATGAAACATGTCAGAGGAGGTGGCCGCTGTCTGACGCATGACAGCAGATTAAACCTTGTGAGGAAAATATGACAAATGTGTGAAGCGGTGTGTTCATACTGTGTGAAGGTGTGGTGTGACGTCTGGTGGAAAGTCAAGTCCAGTTAATCCGGTTCTAATTTTCCTTGATTCAAGAGTTCTAACTGAGTAACACGTTACATTATTTATTAGTGATGAATCAATTTAATCCGCATCTGTCCATGTTTTCATGTGAATAACAGATCAAACGATGTAACCGTTTGTTATTCTTGTGTTTACACACAGCTCTCATTAGCACTGTTTCAAGCAGAAAACAAGGTTGTGGAAACTAAAATTAGAACAAGAAATCAGAAACTTTCTACCTGAACAAACTGGATCGTCTTGAAGGAAAATGTTTAATATTTTTCTCAGGAGTTTGTGGCGACCAAACCACAGTTGACGGTAGTTTGAAGTTTGTAACGACATTAATCAGGAGGATGAAACCAACCCAATTAAATTTGTGTCTTGTATTGAATGGTGATGTTAGTCGCTATGAACATCCCCATGGTCACTGACTGAGCTGCTGTATTTGAAAGCACACAGGGAAGAGATATATCAGGCTGTGGTATACAATATAAAGTTAATATTTTCACTGTTTGATTTGTCTTCTTTGGGAATTGAATGAGGGAAAATAAAGAACATCACAAGACTTGTCCTTTAAAAAGTTAGCAGAGAAAACAGGATGGAAAACAGGGGTGAGATTGAGGACATTTTCTTACTTAAGTTGAAGAAAATCACCAAAACAACAGTGTCAGAGACGAACAAAGAAAAACAGAGAAACAGTCAGCTACATAATGGCTGTCTAAAAAAAACCTGAAGTCCTGAAGGATTAATCATATGTCTGTTGACGTGTTGGGACTAAGAATGTCTGAACGGTCACAAAATAACAGAGTTCACCTCCGTCTGTGACAAACTGCAGCAAAAGTTTTTAGCAGAATTTCATCTCATGGACGAAAAGAAAAAAGAACTCAACCACCAAACATGCAGCTTCGATCCCGACGCCTGAAACACAAAAACTAAGCTCATTTATTTGACTCTCATTGGTATTCCTGTATTGTTGTCATCCTTGTGTTTCTTCTCTCTTGTCATTTATAGTCTCTGTTTGTCGTCTCGTTCAGGATGAGATGTTTTTAGAAACCCCAAAGGCTTTATGTTTTCTCACCTGAACAGTTTGTACTTCATTTCCTCTCTGTTTTCCCCCCTAGTGTGTTTTAGCATTTTTTTTTTTAAATTGACTGAAAAAATTAAGCATGAGGTGTTGGCGCCTGCACGGGTTTGATCTCAGGAGACTCTTTAGGCGAGAAGGTGAAAGGAAGAAAAATAACAAGAAAAGAGTCTTTGTAAAGCTCTGGAATGATACCTCTTATGGAAATGAATGTCTCAGGGATCTTAACGTGCTGAAAGGGCTGCAGGAGAAAACTTTTTACGCTGATGATGATGAAGATCATAAATATGAGGCTGAAGCTACACAGGTAAAGTTTACAGTTTTTTTCAGACAAACAGGGATCACATTTGGTCAGAAGTTGTGATAGAGTTGTAGTCAAGGCCACACTAACCAGGACTAAGACATCCCGAGACCAGAGTGCTTCCAGACCAAGACAAGACCAAGGCATTTAGGGATCGAGATCAAGACCAAGACCAAGACAGGGCTAGACCGAGACAAGACCAAGACCATAAATATTACTGAAAAGTCATCAAATTGTGTTTAGGGGGCGTGTCACTCATTTAGACTGTAACACCAGGAAGGTTGGTGACGTAACTGGGGGATAAAAATCAAAATACAAATGAATTGAAGTTATTTGTTCTTTTAGAAAGAGGCGTTTTCCTTCTAATCACAGTAAAAAGTGATGTGGATAAACAGCCTATCAGCGATGGTCATGATTTAAAATACAGAGTCCAAGACATGTCAGAGTAAAAATGCTTTCCAGTCCGAGACGAGACCTCCAAAAAGTGGTCTTGAGACCAAGACGGATTTTTTTACTTTATTGCCCTTCATGTCCTTGTCGCCTAATTGAACAACCCTATCAAATATTTTTTCCTCATATCATGCCACCCTACCTGTTCATCAAATAGCGCCCAAAAGAAAAAAAATGGATGGCAAGAAAACCAGAGTATCCCTTTAGAGAGTTGCAATAATTTGCAAACAAATTCTTATTGTTGGATCCGTACAAAAATATGTTGCCGTGTCCAGAGCTCATCATGTGAATCAGGTAAACCACAGGTAGAAGTTTTAAACCAGGACCCCTCATTGTCCCCTCCCCCAAAATGCAGCCTCGGCAGAGTTATCCCTCGCTCTTCTCGCTGAGCGCAGAGTCGGCGTTTGTCCAAGAAACAGAAGCAGCAGCTCGGAGCTTCAGACGCTCGTCGGCTGTCACCGAAATCCTCGACTCAAAGCAAACATGTGACAGGCCGCTTCTGCCGCAGAGGGATGAAGCTCGCCGCTTTTGAAGGTTTCCATGCCGGCTGAGTTTTCGATGAATATTCATAGACTGTGAAACTTCAACACAATTCCCCTGCTGATTCCAACATGGCTGTCATCAAACCCTTCAACGTAAACAAGCACGAAAGCGAGCCAAGAGCTGGGACTCTGTTCGTCTCTCTCGTGATGTAGATTCACAACAGGCGGGACACATTTCCTACCCCTCTTGCAGAAAATGATGTTTTGCAGAAATCAGTTTGTGAGGCCCGCTCAAAGGCAAATGGTTCTGTTCACAGCCGAACATAAAATCAATCCGGTTTGTAATGGTCTGCACGGAGAGCATGACAAACAGCTACGGCAGCTCAGACACAAAATTTACCTCTGAAAATGAGAGGCATTCTGCAAATAACATATTACTCTACGGGCCTCAGCATTTTTCTTTCAAAATGAGTGCCAATTATAAGCAGGATTCAGTCTCCCTGCTTCACATTGGAAATTTAAATATTCTGGGCGGATGATGGATGTGGCTGTGTGAAGGATTTTTAGTAAATCCTCAGCGCTGAGGCGACGCAATGCCGATCTGCTTCATCTGCGGAGGACTGAACTATCCTTAAAAAGAGCTGCCATGTAAACAGGTGGTGTCAAGATGTGAAGACAAACAGACTCATAGGGGGAGGGGAGGGGAGGGGAGGAGGGGGGTGGGGTGATAATGCCACCAGGACGGATCTAAATGTCAGAGTTTCTGTGATCACGTCAACGTTAGAGACACCCTATGCTGAGCGCTCGTCCAGCTGTGCGAAGCTGCACCGCTCGTACGAAGAAAAACCTGTCTTCACTTCAGCCACAACACGGGAGCAAAACATGAGCGAGAGAGAGAGAGAGAGAGAGAGAGAGAGAGAGAGAGAGTGCTAACTATGGAGTCAGAGGGACATATGAAAGAATGAATATGTAGCAGGAATGTGTGAACGCTTATGTAACGACAACAACAAAGAACAACAAATGTATTCAGCCTGGGACTAACTCGTAACCACACAGACTCACCTGAGCAGGTACCATCCAAGATGTTCACTATGTTTGTTTTACAATCCTCTACAAGCACCAGCTATCGACAGAACTGTGAATCATACACATCCCTGAATGAAAGACACCCCTGAGTTCTGAAGTCCACATGAAGTCCTCAGATGATTCAGTGGCTTCATGAGGATGTGTTGAATTTTTCGTGTTGAGAAAACAAGTTTGTGGAGTTTTTTTTAAATAAAACTTGTTACTCACAGGACGGAGACGATGTCCCCTCGTTGGACCTGATAGTTCCTCACACTCCAGCGGTTCAGTAGGACGACGTCACACTCAGACCCTCCATCTGGGTTCAGGGACGGCTGCGCACACACACACACACACACACACAAAAACACAAATATAAACAAACACCCTTCATGACCAGGTAAAAAACAAAGACAGTTGAGATGGTGAGCAGCATCAAGTCAGTTTAATGTTTGTATAGAAGATGGTCGCTGTCAGAACAAGAAGCGGGTCAGCGGAGACCGTCAGGCCCAAAGAGAGAATATGGAAGTCCAAAGCCCTGTTTCCACCAAGCGGCCCGGCTCAGTTTGGTTCAGTTCAGTACGCATTTACTTGAGTTTCCAAGATTGGAAATGGTACCGAAAAAACCTATCCCTACCGTCCTACTTTTTTGCAAACATTCTGTTGGGTCAGAACATAAAGGGTGGACCTAGACGCAATGCAGTCTGTTGATTGGTCGAACCGATCATCCATTCAGACCGTGCCATGTTTAAATACCCTGTCAGTTTCAAGAGAGTAAAATCAAAACTGTCTTTGATTTTTTGCGACTAATGTCAGCACGTAGCACCGCCCCATGGACAACCTGAGGTGCTTCGTTCTTCTTCTTCTTCGTTGAATTTATTGTTTATTTGGATCCCCATTAGCCACTACCTAAGTAGCGACTACTCTTCCTGGGGTCCACTCATACAAACATGAATTTAAAATCCACACAAATTAAATTATAAAAAAAAAAGTCCAAGTCGGAACAGAAAAAGACAAAAATAGAAATAAATGACAGCAAAATAACAGGCGAAGTACAAATTTATTTTATTAATTCATAACCTGTTTCACGCTGCTCTGATGTTACTCTATTATGTAGCCGGCGCTAATTTCTCCGTCTGGCTTACACTCTGCCAACCAACTGAGGGTACAGTTGGCTGTGGAAATGCAAGCAAGGTCAGGGTTTACCTCATGGACCGGACTAACTGGATCGCTTGGTCGAAACAGCGCTAAACTGTTCTCTTTGATCAAACTTTCTCCCAGTGCGTTGGACAGCCTGGCAGTTATGTCCCTGAAGACTTTAGTCCTCAGTGCAGCGGCTGTAGGTTCAAATCCAACCTCGACCCTCTGCTGCATGTCATCCCTCCCTCTCTCCGCCCATCCTATCGAATCTAATGGAGGCAAAGGGGCCCAAAAAAGTACTAAGAAAAAAAAAATACAAGCCCTCTTTTAATGATCCACATGATAAAATTCTTCTTAAATTTCACTGTTGTGTAAAATAAAACTCCAAACAACCACATCCACTATGACAGCTCCATCACACGCTTGACTTGGATACCCCCCCCCCCCCCCCCTTATAAACAACAACAACGATGAAAATCATTATTCTCACGTCTCACTTTGTGTCACTTTCAGGAAGGATGCACGCGTGACAAAGCCAGCGACACGTCGACGGTTTCATTAAACAGGATGCGCTCAGACCATTTCACGCTTGCTTTGGTAATTGACAAAAAATCTGGAATGTGTCTGCACTTAAATAAACATCCCTGTGAGAACTGCCAGCCAGTGAGTTTATCTGATACACTCTGATACTTCATCAGCTCCTCTCACACTCAAATTTCTTTATATTTCATGCTGAATTGTCTCTGAAGCTGCAGCCATGGAGACTTGAAATCTGTAAGAAATTTTCAAAGGGCGATGCTTTGACTGCAGCAGCACATTGTCAGATTTTTAATTTAGTTTTCTAGAGAGATGATGCAAACATTCGCAAAACTTTGAGAACTAAAGAAGACAAAGTTTAAGTCGAGAATAACGACTGTAATCTGAAATAATACGACTTAAAGGTCCAATCAGTAAGATGTGTAGTGAGTGAAATGATATAGTAAGTGAGCTTACTATATGATCAGACATTAAGGAAACATGCTATGTTGAAGTGCTGGCTTCTCTGACAACAATGCAGCAGCCAGTATGTCCTCCTTCTAACTTTAGATTCTGGTCCTGAATGCTCTGGATTTGTTTGGACCAGAGAAGGTAGACGGTTTTAAGACAACCCCACACGGCTGTTTTGGACGCCCCTCAGTTTGCCAGATATGAGAGCAGTTATCAGGTCAAGCCAACAGGTGTTGCAGCGATGGAAGCGGGCAAGAGAACTGGTTCAGATAGAAGTGATTGTACCCGACCTAAAAAGCCTCTGCATGTTTCTAATAAGCTCCACGAGCAGAAACGTGCTCAAACTAGGATCAATATTGGAGATGCTTTTGAAAAATGGAGAGAGGTTAGAACACAGAAAGGTTTACAGACCGATGCAGAGCTGGCTAAACACTGAAGCTTCAGTGTCCTCCACATGGCAACCTGTGTGAGCATCGACTGTAGAGAGGAGGGGGCGGGGGGAGACAGCTCTCTACAATGTTTAGAATTTGGACTGCAGTACCCAACTTTAGCTTCAAGTATGTGAAAGAAAAGGCAGCAATGAAAAAAAAAGTCAAATGAATAAACTCACATGATAAATATTATAAATCGGGCTTATTAGACAAATTATAAAAATTAATCAAAGTAGAAATGATCGATTAATATGTGTGAAACTCTGAGGAGATGATCATGAGCTCGATGCTCGCCTCTTTTTCTGACACAAATCAAAAACTCAGTGGTACATATTCATCACCATCAGGAGCTCAGAGAACACTGTTTCCATGACAACTTCCCAAGCACTGCAAAACAAAGTACACACACACACACACACACACACACACACACACACACACACACACACACACACACACACACACACACACACACACACACACACACACACACACACACACACACACACACACACACACACACACACACACACACACCTTTCTGTGTTTCTGTTCTCTTGCTGCTGTCATGAACCTGCTAAACATTAACCTGACTTCAGCAACAAAAAAAAAACAACACGACTACAAACGCACAACCTGTCAGTCATGGATGACCTTTACGCTTCACAAGAAGCTGCAAATACATAAACGATTAAAAGCCAATAACACACAAAAGCATAACATGTATGCACCCGTGCTTTTTAGAATTTGCACCGTTAATCCAAAAGGAAGTCTTTTCTGCTGCTGCAGCGTGGTCGACCTTCAGCACAGACGGACCAAACATCTGAGGACACGCTGAGCGATGTGGAGGATTCTGTTTCTGAACAAGCGGTCACATCACTCGCTTTAAAGCCACCAGACTTCAGACACAAAAACATTTAAGACCCCATGACCATCTAGCGTGTCTCTCTGAGCGCCATCGTCTTTTTCCAATTGTTTCCAATGAGTAGAGAGCGTTTGCAGCAGCAGGCGGCTGACTCGGTCGGCTGTGAAACTGAATTGCCCTTCAGGGATTCATAAAGTTGTCTGAATCAAAATCTGGAGAAAAAATGCAGCGCCCAGTGTCTTTTTTCCGAGCGCTGCACAATCTTTCAACTTTTCTAAAAGGCGCTGTTGACATCACTGGCACTCTTTTCCAAATGTTTGATATTCCCTGTAGTTTTGTCTCCTACACATCAGGTCTTGTACTCACATCCTCCTCGCTCCGTGTCTGATTGGGAAAAAAGCAATCTCAAATATAAAACATGCAGTAAAAAGTAACGGAGCAGTGTCAGTCATACAGCGGCCGTTGTCAACAGACTGTTGTCATGGAGACAGGACGGACGTGCAGCAGTTTTCTCCTAGGTGCACAAACGTTTCATGTAAGCACTCATGCGTGCATGACATGGGAGTTGCTGGTCTACCGCCGCCTCGATTGGTGACAGTTTTCGGGTTATTGACACGATAAAATGTTCCTACTGAATCATTTCCTGGTCAGTTAAACGGAGTTAAGTTAAAAAAAATATTTAAAAAAACAGCCAAACTTGGGGCGCTGGTGGGGCAATGGTTAGTGTGTGTCCTAACCCAGATTAAAATCCCACCTTTGGCTCCTTTCCCGCATGTCCTTCCTCGCTCTTTCTCCCTAATTTCTGACTCTATCAACTGTCCTATCTCTCCATTAAAAGGCACAAAAAGCCCAAAAATAAAACAAACAAAAAAGAAACAGCCAAACTGAGCACAATTTCATTTACGTTTAGGGGAAGCGTATCTTATTGGTCTTTATTGGAATAGTTAGGAGACGCCTTAGCGCCCTCTAATGACCAGCTACCACTGACTTTAAATATTGATTTGTTTAAAAGGTAAAACAGTTGCATCATATTACTTTAACCTTTACAACATCTCCATAATGCACCTGGAGCTTTTCTTTGTTGTTTTCATCATGAAGACTTCAGACAGTAAATCAGAATCAAACGTTGTTTTCACCTCATGTTTTGAATATCAGAGAGCGATGGGGATATGTTGACGAGGAGCAGCCTCCACACTTTGCTCCCGCCGGATCATCGTGTCTTTAACTTTTAACATGAGGAAGACACAGCTCAGTCAGACAGAAAATACAGAGCCTGGATTTGACTTGTGTCATGTCATTCTTCCTCGCTGCGGACGTGAGTCTCGTACAAATGGATTTGTTGATGCAGACAGACTCACTCGCAGGGGATCAAGGTTCCACGTACACAGATTAACCGGAATAAAAGTTTAACCACGGTGAAGCCAGGAGACACCGCCTCTCGCATGTCAGGCTGCAGGAGTGTAAACAGCTCGTTCAGTCGACCAGTGTCCAACCGTTCAATTACTGATTTGAAGAGATTTGATCAGAGCCTCGAACTTTTGAGGAGCTTTTCATCGCGGCCGGCTTCCTGACCCGACATGAACAGCGACAAGAATACACAACATGAACCAAAGAGCAACATGCACGTTTTAATATTCATGCTCATTAAAAATAGAGAGCAGATTGTTTAATGCATAATGCAGAACGCGTCGAGGATAATAAGCCGCACGACAGGAAACCATCTCGGTCAAAACCCAACAGGCACTTGTTTTCTGTTATGTGTTTTTTTTTTTTCTTTTTTACAGCTGGCTTTGGAAATGAGAATGGCTCGGGTTGTTTACTGCTTGGATGAGGATAAAAGAGGTTGTGAATGGGGTGCATGTGGAGTTGAAGCTTTTCCAGAGTAGACAGACACCTGAGACGAGGAAATGTTTACTTTGTGTGCAGAGGTTTAAAGATTTCTTTTTGGGCTTTTCGTGCCTTCAATAGCGGGATAGGACAGTGGACAGAGGGAGAGAGAGAGAGCAGGGAACGACATGAGGGAAAGGAGCCACAGGCTGGACTCGAACCCGGGCCGCCGGCTTTAGAGGACTACAGCCTCTACACCTGGGGCACGAGCACTAATCCCTGCGCCACCAGCGCCCCGTGTGCAGAGGTTTAAAAGGCCTCAGACCTCGTTAATTTACGATGACGGAAAATATAGTTCCTCAACACTTTCTTTTTGGCGTTTCTTACACTGGACTTCCCCGTTGTGAGAACGCCGCGGCCTCTCTGTTATTAGCGTGTTTTGAAAACAGAATCTAGCCTCTGCAGCCCGCTCCGCTGTGCAGCTGGAGGATTTCTCTGTCCCTCCGCTGATTGTTGACTCTGTGTGTAACATCTCACCTGCATGGACGCTCCCTCCACTCGTGCCACGTAGGCGAACCGATCCAGGACAGTGACCGTGACGGGAACGGCGACAAAGAAGCCGCTGACGAACGCCCGCAGGTACCGCCCCTTTGACGCCTGCCGAGCCATCTCCTGGAGCACAAACAGAAGGAGAGCATCAGAACCGTGAGGACACAGAGGGAGGCAGACGTCGCTCAGGTTGGATTAGACTACGATGGATTAAACTGCATCGATCTCTGAGGGCAGAGCGGGTCGATGCAGCGGCATGAGAGAAACAGAAACCTGCACGGGAAAGAGAGGGAGGTCTGAGCAAACAGAGGGGGGAGAAGAGGACAATAAGAGAGTGAGCAGGTGTTAAGAGGAAGAGCAAGCACTGAAACACACTCAGGTCGGATTATACAGAGAACACCACATCACAGTATTACAAAGAAATACACACACAGATCACTTTCCTCTTGGCTGCTCCAAGAAAAACTGGATCACCAATTCCAGATTACCAGAGCTGCACACTACATACTTTGTCCACAGGGGGCGCCAAAGTCCACAAAAACTAAAATAATTAAAATGAGAGATTTCATTTTTGATAATGATGATTTTTGGTGAAGTATTGCACAAAGAAACATCGTTTAATGGTTCGCCTCGTCTACTTTGTTAATAATTTTGTTTCACCGACATAATGAGCACATATAGGTCGATCTCAGCATATTCATCTCGTTATCTCCTCGTTATAACAACCACTATTTTCCTGTGTGTGATGATGAGTTAGTCGGAGTCGGTTTGTACATCCACAAGGAGAGCGCCACACTTTTTCTATTCTCACAAGTTTATATTCTACAATTCACTTAACATCAGAGAGTAAGTACAACACTAATCCAGTCATACATCGCCACCGAAGCAGCGGGAGCAATGCCGGGTTAAGTGTCTTACCCAAGGACATGTTTTAGTGCTGGGGATCGAACCATGGACCTTCCGGTTGAGAGGCGACGACTCTACCACTGAGCCACGGACGTAAAAGACGTTTAAACACAAAGAAGGCCAGAAGTCATCACTGATAAAACTGTTACGAGTAAATGGGCGTTCTCTGAAGCAACAGTATGCATTAATTTTGGTTCGGTGTAATTTGGCGCCCCCCAAAGATCTCTGAGTACAACTGCACCGTCTTAAAACACACGTGGTCCAGATTCGCCTCCTCCTCTTACACGACGTGCATTTGTTGACAGTCAGAGGGCGGAGAAGTCAAAGAACGACGTCGACTTACAAGGTTCAGTAATATTACCGGATTTAGATCAAATCTGAGTCTGGTTGTGTCTTCAGCCCGTTGGATGCTAATTGTTAGCAGGTGGAGTATGCGTTTGTGAATTAACTGTTACCATGACGACTATAGGCCGTAGCTAAATGGCTACATTGGAGAGGTTCATTTACTGCATGCTCGTTCAGATCAGTTTGTGAGGTTTTAAACTTATGAAGCTAACTTGAAGATGGACGAGGAAAGAGACCACTCTTTGGCATCAGATGGATTTATTGATTTCTTTGTATCAAACCAGAGACAGAACTCGGGTTAGACGACTTCCTGCAGCCGGTGAAGCTGCTAAACACGAGACGACGATGACAGCGCTAACGATACATGCTGTACAGGATACAGGTCTCAATCTCTTCTGAATAATATCTGCAGGAATGAACACTCTGCGCCTCGCTCGCTCGCTCTCTCTCTCCTTCCTCTTCCTCTTAGCCTCAGCTGTCATATCAAACAGTACAGAGACAGGCTAACTGGCTGCTTTGTAGCTGAGGGATGCTGTGTGAACTAGTGCCATAAAGACATACGTACTTCTCACCAGATGACCTCAGCCCGCTGCCAAAGTTACATAGTGCTGAAAACAGGCAAGCGGGGTGCTCTGTGGACACGAGAGAGACGTCATCCTCCCTGTTGAGAATTATTGTTCTTTTAGATTGACTTTGAAAGCTGCTCTTTAGGGTGAAACACACTCAGATCTAACGTCATGAATCAGTGAACTAAATGATGAAGTAGATCATTACTTCCTGGTCTTCATGCTGCTGTCAGAACTGAACTGTGAGAAACCCTCCTGTGGCTCTGAAGTTCTGGAGACAGCTCGCTCTGCTCACACTCATTTCAGATTAAAACTAGAGGAAGAACATGGCGCGTGTGATGTAGTGTGAGGGCGCCCTGCTGCTGAAAGCAGAACATGATGATGTGGACACTGAGCTAACAAGGTGAGAAGGATTCTTCATTTCACCCAGACTTTGATGTGAGACCTGCTGAGTCAGAGTCAGGATTTAAACGAGTCGACAGGAAACTCTAGGAAGTGAGCGCGAGCGCTGCAGGGACTGAGCGAAACCTTGAAGCTCCTCTGATGATACACTTGTTCTCTGAGAGGGGGGAGTCACGCAGGGGCTGTATGAAGTGTAATGGCAATATGTTCACGTCAAGACGGATTGTTATGCTAGAATAGATTTTCTGCTCCGGCGCCGGAGTTTCCTCCCTGCAGCACACGGTGGGAGCTGATGTCTTACAACGCCCGGCGGAGGCAGATCGCCGTGTTTAATAAGACGTAACGTTCAGTGAGGCTGGGAACTCTCTGCGGTTTGTGTGTGTGTGTGTGTGTGTGTATATGTGTGTGTCTGTGTGATTGTGTGTGTGTCTATATCTTAAACAACACCTTCTTCACTGTAAGAGACTGAACCACTGTGATTTATTTAATCATCATCCTTTATTTATTTATTCATGTTAATTAATGTCTTTCATGGTGGCCATGATGTTTATCGTTGCCATGGAAACACAGGTGGTCACCTCAAAGACATCTCAAGCTGCATGAGGAAGCGTGAGCTGCTACTGAAAGCTGCCGTATGTACTGCTGAGATAAAAAAGACAGAGACGGTGCTGTTTGTGTGTGCACCCTGGAACCCGTTTTCAAAAGTTTGCGTCTTCAGGCACCCAAAACGCTGCCATCGTCTATCCAGTCTCTGCAGACACAGTCCCCACCAACACACACACATGTATGGAGGCCCAGAAGGGATGATGGAGCAGCTTTACTTTAGTATGACCCCCAGTTTCCTCATATGCCGCCGTTCACTGCCTGTCAATGATCGTGTTTTCACAGTGAGCGCCGCGGTCCGTCTCCAGGGCGTGCCAGAACTAAATACAGAACTTTCACAGAGCTGCAGAGATGACAGCAGATAAAAACTGTTTACCTCCTCCTAAACACTAAAATGTTCCTTTACTCAGTCATTAAATGAACACCACAGCTGACACATGATCGTCTTCTTAAACCGAGCCTCTCTGCAGCGAGGTCACTCCTCCGGCTGCAGACGGGTCGGTCGTGGAGGGAGTACACTTTGCTGTTGATGATGTTCTGAAGTCCTGTGATGTGGAGGTAATAGCTGTAGCAGATCTCCAGAGTGCGGCGGCTGGACGTCCACACGAGGCTGATAGCTGTGCACCGGAGGCAGCGGTGCGTGGCTGCTGCTGCCGCTGCCAGCTGCTCGGTCATTTCACGCCTGTCTGGGCTTCCTGGAGCGAGCGGATGAAAAACTCCAGCGGGGGGAGAACGGGCTCGGCGTGATGCGTTTCAGTGTCCGATCACCAAACCTGCTGTGAAAAATAGATTTAAGCTCCAAGTGTTTCACAGAAATGTCGAGTGAAATGTCCTCGTATGTGGTCAAGTCGTACATGATAAAGGACGGATTAACGGAGGGTCCTGGTGTTCTTAAGAACGCAGAGATGGTCACTGGAGACTATCGTTTGACGTCGTCAGCAGGAAACTTTGTCTTCTATCACAGGATCCTCCTCAGACGCTCTCGGTGAGGTTCAGGTTTATTTGTTTCTCTCCTGAAAACTCAAAGGACTCCCGTCTGTGTGTCTTTAGAAATTCATTTTGAAAACGACCTTGGAAACAGCAGCTGAAGTGCTCCTTTAAATGGAAATGTAAACGTCTGACGTCGTTCAACAGCAACCGTGAAAATCATCCTCGGTTAGAAATGTTTTAAACAAACACCGGAGGGACCTTAAAAAAGACGCTAAACAGACTCTGAACGGTGACATTTGAATTTGATGATCTGGGAATAAAAAGGCATTGGATGGGGCGCCGGATGGCTGAGCGGTCATGACATGTGCCCCATGTTCAGAGGCTGTAGTCTTCGTGGTAGCAGCCCGTGGGTTAGAATCCGACCTCAGTCCTTTGCTGCATGTTGTCCCCCGCTCTATCCTCCCATTTCCTGTCCGATCCAATGAAGGCAAAAATGGCCAAAAGAAATACCTTTTAAAATGGCATTGGACATTTGTGTGTGTGTGTGTGTGTGTGTGTGTGCATAATGAGATAAAGTTGGTGTCTTGATTGATAGAAAATGTAATTTAGATTTTATTTACTTGGGCATGTCTTCATGTACCTAAGATTAAAAAACCTGCTGACTCAGCGTATTCGTCTACATGAATATAAAATAAGATGGTTTAAGTAGAAACGCTGCTGCGCTTGTGTGAAACTGCACCTTAATTAAAACCTTAATTAGCAGCTGCCTGTCAGGCTGTTAGTAAAACACAGCGGTGCCTGACCCCCCTCTTCCTCAGGTCCACAGCTCTCACTCTCCCGGGTCTCCGTCCAAACTTATTTGTAGGTCAGGTCTTTTATTGGCTCCCCCCTGCACAGCGCGGAACTGCTGCCCAGGCAGAAGTAGAACTGGTTGGAGGGGAAATCTCACAGCGGCGGCCTGTAATCAGCGTCCCTGCTGCCTGGCTGCGTCCTTCCCCTGTGGATTTATCGCTCTGGAAAAGCTTTGGATCGCCAACATTAGTCAGCGGCCCGAGATGGAGGCCAGCGCGCAGAGCCAGAAATTCAATTGTAGCGATCGGAGGAAAAACACAGCACAAAGTCTGGGCTTGATGGTGGCTGATTTGCTGACCTGAGGTCTGCTCCGGGGGCTCTGCGCTCGCTGAATCTGATATTTATACCCTCCTCTGTATTGGGCTCATCTGAATAAAGTGGAAGCGGTTACTGGAATTGGGTTTGTGGAACCCGTGACGGATCTGTGAGGAGCTGCTCTCCGACATAAAGAGGCCTCGTCATCCTGAGGCGACACGGACGCTGCTCTTTCACTCAGTCTGCTCTTTATGTGCTGATATA